TTTGCTTATTATTTAGCCACTATTTAAAACAATTTATTGTGTCTCGATATTTTTTACCAATATTTAATTTTTGAATTTATTTAATTATTCATAATTAGAACAAGTGATCCGGTCTCAATTCTTTTTTGAAATTGTTTTTGCTTATAAAATTGTTTATTTATTTATTTATTTATTTGGCCAATGCTTGAAACACAAGATCCGTGTCTCGATTATATTTATTTATTTATTTATTTATTTATTTATTTATTTATTTATTTATTTATTTATTTATTTATTTATTTATTTATTTGTTATTTGGGCAGCAATTAGAAACATTGATATGTCTCGGTTAGTATTTATTTATTTTGAAATCTTTATTTTCACGCACGTTGTTTTATTGTTCAAGTTATCCAGAATTATCACAATTCTTAATCGGGTAGTTTTTTTATACGTCATATTAATTTGTTTATTGGTACAAGTGGCTGGCGGGCCACTAAGAGTATTAATACAATAAATGTCGCGGTATTGTAAGGAGCAATGTGAAGCAGTCTCTGGTGGGTAAAACCGTAGGTGTACGTACATGGATAAAACTGGTCGATTAATCGTATGCTAGTAAGGATGTATGTATTCCCGTATGGTGGAGGCGCGTTTCCGCATAATACTTTGACAGTCGACCCGTTAATAATAGAATCGCTTCCGTGTAGCGGGGGACCCTGAACGCGGCTAATATGAAAGGAAACCGACATCGTCTCAGTGATTGTCGCGTCATGGTTCACAGCGAACTCTTATATAACGGACTCAGTGCACAAAACAGTTCGCTGTCGTGTAACGATGAGTTTGAACTACCGATGACCTACGATCGGGAAACGAGATGATAAATATTTTCCAAAAAAAAAACGCGGTTGTTATCTTGGAAATAAGAATTTTCAAACGTGTGGCGGCCACGTAAAGGCGTGTTCATTACGTAATAGTACTATACACAATGCACGTACAGATCGAGACGCCGCAATGTGAGCTTCTATTCAGTGCGGGTAATAGCGTACACCTAATAAGAAAATGCCTTAATTGGATTTCTATACAAATGCATAACAAGTGTAAACGATACGGTGTTTGAGTGTCCCCTATCTCATCTAATCCCTTTCCATGGGCTTCACGTTCGTCTAGGCCACGTGCGTACGTTTCTTTTGAACTCGGCCATGTTTTGAAAAATCGCCCAGTCCCGAAGCCGACTATTAACCACCGAAGGGGTGTATCGTTGTAGTTCGCTATATGGGATATCACACACGGGTTTTTAGGAGTTATTGTCCCTGTTGGAAACCATACTTCACTAATAATTTTGGAGTAAACAAAGAGGTCGTCGTACTCAACAGACTTTTATATTATTTTTTTAAAAAAACGTCTGCGGCTGGGAAGTAGTCGTTCACACTACAACAAAGAGCCACCAAAACAACGGATTTCCCCTCACGCTTTCAAAGAGGAAAGTTGGCACATAGAAGTTTCGGTGAGTTTGATAGTTTTGTTTGTTTGAATATAGCAATTTATAAAGTTGAATGCCCGACCCGGGGTTGTAAATCACTCCCTGGCACCCTCCCACCGTCATTACCTAATCTCAACAACGAGGCGGCGGCTTTTACTGAAGTTCTCCGTCCACTCAAAACCGTCCTTTGATTAAACAAGGAAAGATTCACCGAAAATCGACGAACAATAAAACCGACGAAACCTCTAAATTGAACCAGTTAAAGTTAAAATCAAGCGAATTGTCTTTAGATATTGGGTCCTTGGGTTCACAAAGTTCACCGACAAGCAAAGATTTTGCTGTATTAGCTGTTAGTTTACACTCAAGGCGGGCGATACGTCGTAATTACAGCGCGGATATCCACTGTTAGTTCATAATACATCGTCTCATTTGGCCCCCTTTTCGCGGGATATTTTCAGTTAATCTTTCATGTTACACTAACAAACTTATTTTACGATTTTTTGTCACCTGAAAAAATTATCAACAGGTCAATCAGCATGGAACTGCGTTGAAAGCAATAACACTGTAAAAGCAAGCGCGCGTTAATGTTGGTTTACAATCTGACATACTGCCAAGTTCAATGTCTTCATTTCGTACAACAACGTGACAGTGATCAAAGGCAACTGAAAAACCGCGACGACTGTTCCCATGACAGATTGGAGCAGATCTCGCGTATTAAATCTTTCGCGCTGAGTGAGACATTAGAATAAAACCGCGTTGATTTCCCTCGTATTTTCAGGTGGAATAAAAGGGGAAGTTCGGTTTCCGACACTATAGATTGTCATCTGCGTAAAATCAGCGCGCGCAACACGGGACTGGGCGTATTTCATTAAAGATTCATTGTCAAAACTCCATTTTCATATATTCTCACCAAATCCGTGTATTTTGGATGGCATCGCTTTGAAAGGAGACAGCTAATGTAGCAAAATATTCGTGATTTAAATAAGACAACAATAAACATGTACTAGTGTGAAAGTTCAGCTATTAATAGCAAAAACATGCAAAACAATAACACATTTTATCTCGCAGGAAACATTTTGTAGTCTGCCGACCACTTCTCTAGAAAGTCTGGCGCATTAATGCAGGTTAATTCGTTTTCGCCGAATACAGAGCCGAGTTACACATTTACTGATGTTGTATCACATCGCCCGGCTAAACGGGAAATTTGACTGGAAAGTTGACTAGTAAATCTTACATTAACGCTGCAACAGTTCCCTGGGGCGCTGGAAAGTATCGCCTCAATTTGTATGTAGAACAGCCAACAGTGTGTGTCGCATGTGAAACGAGGAATTTTGTCACTCTGTAGGGTCGGCCATCTTGGCTTGATCAAAACTCCGCTTTACAGAACGTTTTCGAACATTCGTCGTGAAAGGGAATCCACTTTCAATAACTACATATTGTAGGTGGCGTTATTTAATAAAACAAGGCAACATAACTCAACTTTAAACCGGACTTTTAACTTTAAGTTGCTTCTTGCAGATCAATTTAGTGTATTTCGGCTGTACAAAAATGGGGTACAGTTAACACGTTTTTTTTTTTTTTGTCTTTTATTTTTATATAAAAACATACTGGGCAACAATTGCAAAGTGCGAAATTTTTCTGGCTGCTTACTTAAGTTCTGTTCGCGTGATTGTAACTGGTCTCACACATACACACGAATAAGAGACGCCATGCCAGTTTGCCGTGTTTTGTAAACGATAACATGCCTCCATTGTGAAGTTGCTCGGCACAAAGACGCTCTATTCAGACCGATCTTCTGGCAGTAGGCACGCTACGGGCGTTATCGTCTGCTGACATTTGCCTTCTTTCATCTGACAATGCAATTCAGTCTTCGCAGTAGTCTATTTTTACAGACAAAGAACGAAGTGAAAGACAGGAGATCGGGATCTGAATAGTTGTTTTGCTAAACTATCAAGTCGAACCAGGCAGGCAGAATAGGGGAATTCACAGATTTACTGGTGTGTTTTTCACTGCAGTTGTCCTGGATTCAAAAGAATACTTTAAACGTTTTCCTATCTTTTATCCGGGTGCAGTCAGCGCGTGTGTGGTCTGAACACAGCATTGTGGAACAAAATTCAAGCAGAAGACCCGGCGATTGCAGTACTTGTTTTGCCGCGTTCATCCACGCAGACGACAACACATTTTGTCAAAAAAACAGCAACATTTCTACGAACAATCGGATACATACACATGGAATAATATACTCTCTTTATTTCAGTTTATTTAATACTTTAAGTTGGGTGGTCAAAATGTCCAGAATTCGAAAATCATTACTTTAAACATGGTAAACATTGTAGTTTAACATAATTTGACCAGAATCTTATAACAATAATAAAGTCGTTTACGTGTTATTGTTTAGATATAAACATTTATAATACATGACAAATAACAAAATTAGGGCCCATATTTCTCTCATAAATTCTCCCTTTTTGTCTGCCTACTGCGCCCACGATATACTCATTCAAGAATCCCCCCTAAATTCCACTATTATAACGAAGTTGCGTTTTTTTTACGCTGACCCGAGCAATATCGGTCAAAACAAGTTGACATATAAGGAGTTGACCATTGGAAACTGGGGGGGGGTAGCTGACAACTACTTGCAGATAATTCAGTCTTTTTTCCTTCACCAAGTTTTGAGTTTTTTTATTTTAAGCATTTAGTGTTTTTTTTAAATATACTCTTGTTCGGTAACTCTCTGTACATATTTTTGAAAATGTTCCCTGTGTGCAGGTTCCCCCAGATTTTCTAATCACCTAACCTGCCTAATGACCCATTCCTAAAAAAATATTCTGATAAATTTGCAAATACGTATGGTTTCACAAGTTATATCACTCCTATATTATCTGTGTTTTCGGTGGTGTCTCGTTCACTGCTATGACCCGACTACTGACACGCATAGCTACAGCGTACAGCAATGTTTACTGTTCATCAGAAAGAAGGCCACGCAGGGCTTCGTCAAAGCAGACTGTCCGATCAGTAAACTCCAGCTCATGGCTAATGTTTTGTTAGCCTGTTTGTACACGGTCCGTGACACGAACGGAGCTGTAAACACCTCTTCTTTACTTAGCACACAGATAACACCGTTAATCCGACGAGTTAAGGTCGAAGGATTGACTAACAGACACATGCATACTAATAGTTTCAGTCCAACGGTAAATGAGAACTTCATTATGGGCAATATGGCTGACACCGTTTATGTCGCGTCGGTACGCTGATATAACTATATAGTTTTAAGCTTTCATGCAGAATTGTGTCACATCAATACAAGAGTAAATACTAGTACACAATTTTGAGACAAGAAATTTTGGATGAGTGCCGTATTATTAAATATCACTTAAAACTATGTTCTAAATTTTAAATTGAAAAAAGTAGTTTTTGTCATGGAAATATATCTATTCGATTATGGTTGTTGACATCGACATTGTAGTTATTGGTATAGTTGTCTTGAGCCAAACTTACACAAACACAGTTCAGTGACCTTTTGGCAAAACACGCGAACACGGGAAAATTCCTAATCGACATAACCAAAAAAAAAATTCAAATTTTTTTTTAATCATTATTGTATGTGGCATCATTTATAGCGACACGCAGAAAATGATGTTTCATTTTAATTCAGGAAAATATTTCATTTTACAGGGAAAATTTTGTAGTTTTTCGAACACTTCTCCAGAAAGTCTCGTGCATAAACACGGTGTAATTCGTTCTTCGTGCACCCGAAAAAAATATTATGACAGAACAAATTACTGTATGTTGAATCCGTCATCATACACATCTCACAAACACGAATTTAAACATTCACCACGTTCGCAGACGACTGAAGATTTCTGTAATGGCGGCTGTGTAGATAGAAGGTTTGTGTGTATGTTTCAGAAAACCACGTGTTTTAATGTTTGGGGTCATTCGTCATCAGCCGTCAGTTCGTACTAGACACTGAAAGGTCATGAATTACTTGTCGCTGTTTGCCGCTATTTTGTAACTTGAGAATAGGGTGCCGTGCTAAATTTACTGCGGATTAAATACGACAAGATGCCAGAGAAAGATATAGAACGAAAATAAGTTAATAAATAGCGTGAAATTATCATTTTGTGATTCTGGCGCGTCATCGTCAAGCTAAACTCTGTAATTTCACTCCATCATCGTCACGGACGCCATATTTGTTTCTGTTCCACAACATTGAGTTGTCGTATTTGCGTCATACAGGACACAGTAACCCCCCCCCCCCTTCGTCGTCTCCGCTGTATTTCCACGACACGGACACGGAGCCGAGTACGCTAATGTGTAACAGTAAATTACAATTTTTCAACCCAAACGGAGAGTTTTCGTTATTAATTTGTGACGGCTTCAGCCATTACCATTCGACACAATTGCTTGAACACGAACCCACGCGGCAACACCAAACAGCAGACATTCTGGGGTAATTTACTATAAAATCGTGACTCAATTTGGCATCTTTACCGTTGATTGTTTGTTGGAAATCGCATTTTGTCAAAAGGAAACCGTTTGACCATCACAATACGGTGACCGTACGTTATATAATCGGTGGAACAATAGCTACAGTAATCGCATTCACAGACACGGAATAGAGACCAATGTGGTCGTCTAACAGAAAACAATCCATTCTCAAAAGCAGTTCATATCATTGTCAATTCCTCAGCTCAATTCTAAATTGATTAAATTGCGGTAATAGTACAGACAGGTTTATTGTCGACAACATCACACACAGCTTGCGTAACACAACATTAGACGGACGTATATGTGCATGCATATAACTTCCGTCGAAAACATTACATTAGTTTATTCCCCAGTTGTATTCCAGTATTGTTACATTTGACTCCTAGTTGTTAATGACCACCACCATCCCAGCGTGACCAACATCTACGGCCTCTACCCAGTTTTTGAACAGATATTTCTGTTTTTGTTTTTGCAACCTAAACATTATACCACCTTAATATTCGACCACTGAAACGCAGCGTTTCGGTGGATGCGATTATACACGCTGTTTGGTTCTACCACGGTGGCATATCTTGGCTACCAGTGAAATGATTGTTATTCAATAATACCCGATGATTATAGAATTTGCAAATAAATAACCAACCTCAGACAGAGGTTCCAAAGTACAACATTTGTGCCAACAATGCTAACAACAAACTTTACTCACTACTAATGATTGTATTAAAATCGCAGTGGACGGCGATGTGATGTTACCTTTGGGAAAGGTTTAATATTCTGTTCAGACCAAATAACATCAAAATTTGGTGTTCACATTTTCAGTCGAGTCTAATGTCCCGTGTAGTTTTATCAACCACATTTGTTGAACAAACCGAAACCGCAATTGTAGACATACGATTGTTTGTAGAAAAAATGTTGATTTTTTTTTCTCAAAATGTAACACTACCAAATAAATACTTTAGTCAATGAGTCTGAAATTTGAGTCTACTAAATAATGGATTTGTGTCATATTTTACATTAATTAGACAAACATATATATGCAAATAATATAATGACCCAAATAATAGATAAATGGTTGTTGTTTAAATCAGACTGTTGGGATTGCCCGCGCTGAGATCATCTATACACATATGTACCCAATAGTCATTGATTTCTCATGGGGTGAACATTGTAATTTGTCCCAAACTCGCCCTTCACTTGTTAAAAATGTCAAATCTGTTCTCCTCTTTGCGAAGAAAATGGCGGACAGGTTACAGAAAATTCGAACAACGGCACAAAACAATAAATGTTGTAACACCATATTATTATACGGGGGTTATTTACCAGAGTTGAGTATCTAAACATTTCTTTATTTCCCAAATATGACGATGAATTATAAAATAGAATTATGTTCTAACGGGAATCAAGAAATTTTAAATCAAAAAACTCGCCGACAAATTGCACAACGGGTACATGGGCAGTACATGTTCTAGTTTTAACGAGAGCCAGGCTGTATATACACGACTCTTGCTTTATCTTCCGGAACGCCTTCGCGGTCTTTACATTCAATTGAAAATAATAAAGAATAATGAGAAAGCAATTAATTTTATTGTTATGGATTGGTGTGTGTTATTTTTTATACTTTATTTGTATAGAGCAGATTGTTAAATCTGTAGACGTACGTCTTACCCACCTTCAATCTGTATATGATCACGGTGTCGTTATCCGCCATTTTGTCGGGTTTTCATAATTGCAGGCAAAATCCCCCAAACTCACTGTAATCTCATGTCGACATCCTACTCGCACCAATCACTCATCCCGATGCTTCGGCTTGTCTAATCCATGTTTCAGACCATGCCCGTATATCGCGTCATAACAACCGCTTCCACCTTGTAACTGGCGTTTAAACTTTCGTTAGACCCGGGCTCTTACGATGACGGAGGCGCATATTTTCCCACAACTTTGCTGCATGGCTCTTTGCGGTGGAAAGGCACAGTTAGCGCAATAACCGAACTTCGTCGCTAACTCTTCCACCCAGCATGAGCGACAGAAACGGCCGAGACCCTTAAAAATACGAAGTTCTCCCCCCGACTGAACTTGACGGACCGCCACAGCACAACGGCCTTGTCATATCTCGGTCAGACCTGATGTTAATCGCATGTCTCTCTCTTTCTCTTGCAGTTATGACTACAGAGTGTGACTGAAATCGGTGACGACAGAGGCAGAAATAAAATAGGGAATTGAAGATGATGAATCGGACATGGAAAGTTGATACGGCGGACTTTTTGATGTAGGCCCTTGAAGATTGATTATGAAGTGAGAATGTGCTGTAGGGGGAGAGCCTCAGTGAACTTTGACCCCTGTACAGCACAGAATTTAACAACACAGAAATCTTAACAGCTACAAAATCATTATCTTTTCAAATGTGACAATTAAAACGTTTTAAAATTAATTTTTACAGTTGTTTCTAACTTTTATCAAAAATTCCGTCTAAAAGTTCAGATAGTATCACTTGAACAATTATTGTGCTAATTTTCGAAATATTGCCGAATTGTAATTTTAAAACGATTAAAATGTTACTGTACATAAAATTAAGATGTGAACTTGGCATTGTAGTGACGTCATCCGTGTATGTGTCTACGAATTCAAGGTGTACAATTGTGAAATCTGTATAAATCTGGTCATTTTAAAAATTGGGAATAGCATCTTTGTAACATTCAACTCGAATACACTAAATATTTATCGAATGATCAATTTTAGTGCATTCAGAATATCATACAACTGTTGTTGTTTTTTCTGCATCGGTGTAAAATATACGGGATATTCCGGTGACCATATTTCCTACAACGTTCTATTATACGGGGATGTATTGAATAAAACAGACCGCACACATATTTCAATGTGCTTTTCCTTGCTACCGTGACTACGCCACTCGAATACTGGCATCAAAATGGCATTTTTGTGTATACTTCATGTTGTTTATCACCATAGTAACACAACATTGACAACTACTAGTTCAGTAATTGGTGTTTTCTGTAAGACAGGTATCAACGAGAACTTTTTTTGTTTACTCCTTGTTCGGTCATTATTACGTAACTGTGGTTGGATGAGGGAAGCCCGTCGAACCGACCCACTAGTACCAAACCATTGTACTCAGAGGCCGCACAGCACAAAGGCCTGCCGGCCTCCCGGAACTTGAGGTGTTCATTTCTTGTTACTAACGCAACGCGAGCCATAACACACGTTGAACACGACTGAAATGAACGAATAAACAACAATTTTACTTCAAAAAAAAAAATGCTGTCCGTCAGAAAAGGAGTCAAAACATAAAACCACGAGTCTGGGACAACAAAGAAAATGGTATCATGTGTATTTATAGCGGCGACCATGATCAGACTTGCCTGTCTATTAATAACGCCCACCGGTACCATCACACCGATTTGTGCCAATTAAACCGACCTGATATCACATATTTTATTCACCCAATGTGGAGCGGATATTATTGACTTGAACGCAAGCGCCGTACCTCCACCAAAGCCATACTACTGTTTGCATATTTGCCTGTATCAGTTATCGTACAGATATCAAGTTACACGCTGGAAATTAAATCCTTTCTTGTCAGCTGCATGATATTGTATTCAAATCGAATTATTATTATTATTGTAGTCCTAACCGTTTGTATAAACATGATGCCATCATTCCCGTCCTAATCCTGTTTGCTGGAGTACGAAACTGTAACCGCAAATACAGACCGTTGTAAGTCAGGAATGCGTACGTGGACGGGTAATAAACACGAAAAAAGATACTCCGTATCAAACCATGTCTGTGTGTTCCCAATATTTTTGATACACGATGACTGCGCCAGATGTGACCATACAACTACTGGTAAATGTGTTGTTGAAATCTTTCCTATGTAGTGTTATTCTCTGTAAGGTAGTATATAAGGTAATGTAATGTAATGTAATGGAACGAGGTGTTAAAATAACACACGTAATCGTAGATCAATAAATCAATGGAGTGTAATGTAATGTAGTGTTATTCTCTGTAAGGTAGTATATAAGGTAATGCAGTGTAATGTAATGTAATGTAATGGAACGAGGTGTCAAAATAACACACGTAATCGTAGATCAATAAACCTAAAGAGTGTAATGTAATGCAATGTTTTGCAATGTAGTATGATATAATGTAATATAACCGAAACTGCTTTCAATCCCCCTTTGTACACATGTCACCATTCTCAGAATTTCATTTTTATGTCTGATTTGTCAAGTATGCCTCCTCTTCCTAAAGCTTCCTTGTAATACAGTTTAGATAATTAATAGACATGCATTGGATTTGAACATGATGAATTACGGTGTGAAAAATCCGGAGATGGCGTGTCAGCAAGTACACCTATATCGGCAACTGTGAAATTAATGATTTTATGTGAGAGCTGTCTGTCAAAATCTCCTACGTTGGATGATAGATCTTTTTCCTAGGCATCCACTACAATAGTTCCTTAAAATCATCTCCCTATTAGACAAGCATATTACGCTTAAAGTTGATACCCCAAGCAGAAAAGTTTGCGACAATCTATACAATTTACGTAAACACATAAGTCAACTGTTTTTATCAAAACCTGTGGGGGAAAATTTATATTAATTTTCTCCAAAATTAAGTTATAGAAAAATACGTTAAAATGTAGCATCAGGGTGTTTGTGGGAAAATATGGCGTGAAAATTGTTAGTGCGGGTAGGCGTCTTGGTTAAAAATACACCTGCATACAAAAAAGAGGTGAGGTAATGGTCGATGTATGCATTGGGTTTTCACAGGCCAAAAGACGCCGACACGGACAATGTGACGGGCAATTACCGAACGGACTAGACCTTGGCTCCTCAGTCGGCGTTGACGCATCTAACCCCCTAGGGAATCGCTGCCCTCCGCCCCAAATCCTTTGACAACCCAGGACAGAAACACTACAGACAAAGTACATGTATTTTCTGTGTTTTTTTTCGATTTTATTTCGTGGTTATGACATCGGCAACAAAACAGCCTAATTCAAATTTGTTGACAAATGCCACGGAACACACTTCACATTTTCATAACATAAGACGAAACACATATACAACGTTTTGATTACAGTTTTTTAAAGAAATATATATGTAGTAGGAACACACAGACTCCCAAGTAATTGGCGAATCCAGTTGGTACACAGTCAACACACAGCCGAAGAAGGGTACAAATTCATATATATATATATATTGCAACACAGTCCTGTGTGGGTTTCCTCGACATTGTACCGTTTATGTAAAATAAATAGGAGTTCATCGTTTTAAACTAAGTTTGGCCATCAAACACAAACCAAACTGACAATATTAAGCTGTAAAGAACCCTGTATTTCTCCATGTATGTTTGAATGCACGCGGGCCGAGTGGACATCCATCACGGACAAAGCAGTTGACACTGGCTGACTGACAAACCCCGGGGGGCTCTCTACCACTGTGTACCACGTTATAACTGAGGTCTAACGAATGTCACCGGCCTGATCCTCCCCTATATCCCGCACAATACACCTAAATACGATGTCAAAAGAACGAGCTTCACGGTATAGGTGGGCTGCTCGGCGAAAACGCCACAATTTTTTGATTTGTTGTCTGAGTTGCACTTACAACTGGCACATCATAGATTGAAATGTCATTGTTTTTATAATGAAAACTGCAAAATGACGGCAAAATAAGAATTAGGAGTATGTATGACCTTGTTATGTTTTGACTCTCCGTTACAACATTCATTGCATCCGAAGAATATGTACCGAAACAGCAAGAGACTGGAAGGGATAAGTGAAGTTGAAGCACAGGTAAAAAAAAAAAATGTTAACTCTGTTAAAAACAAGATTGTTCTGTGAACTACTGCAGCTAACCGATAAACCCGCCACGATTCGAGGTACCATTGTCGAATTAATTTACGGAGGTAGGTCGATTATTTGATGAGAAACGAACTTACAATTTCTGAATCGTACCAAGAACGGTGGTGGCTGGGTGATCGGATAGTACCGAGCTCACACAATACCTTGCTAGTTACCCTGTTTGATCGAATGTAAAATTCCACCATACGAATCCATGGTGTTACGTATATAGTCAAGCATCGAGTTTTGGCAAGGTGTCCTAACAAGAAGCCGTGTTGATGACGAGTTTAAACACACTTTCCTTTTGCGTAGGTTTGTCGTGGGTTGTAACATCTCAATAGTCAGTGCGATTACGATGGTGGGTCAATTTTTGACAGATTTCAATAACATCGTCGTACCAGTAAATTCGGAATAGATCTTGCCACGAAACCTTTAGTACTTGTACTGCCATACCGAGAAAGCGTAGACATATAGAGTAGTTTTTTCAGCTAGTTTTGAATTTACCGTTACGCAGCAACTCCCCAATCATCATACCAAAATAACGTTCTGATATATACAAACAAAATATCACTGGAAAGTAATGCATAACAAATAAATAAATAAAAAAAGTTCTTTTTGTTCATATAACTTTTTACCCAGACAAAGTGAATGGTCCCAGGCACACGGTGTCACTTTGAAACTGGCAATACGTTCTACGATGTACTGACCGTCACTCCAACCGTATCAGCATTTTTACCACCTAATGCGTCGTTTATAGAATGACTATAACTAGGACCATCTTTAAAACGTTTCTTTTGTTTCATTCTGCGATTCTGGAACCAAATTTTCACCTGTGTCTCGTTAAGACCCAGCATAGCGGCGATTTCCACCCTCCGCGCTCGTGTTAGGTACTTGTTAAAATGGAACTCTTTCTCCAGTTCCGTTAATTGTTTATTTGTGAAATTTGTCCTCCCGTTCGCTGGCGATCCCGTGAACCCGTACTCACCGCTTTTACCTGGAAAATTAAAAGAAAAACAAATGAAATGGTTGCTGGGATACGCAAAAATGTGTGTTCGTTGTGGTCTATATCTGATAAAACATACTGTGCGTCGCCGATCGTATGCGGGGTCAACAAAACAGGGAAGTCAAGAAACGAGTGGGGGTATTCTCTTCAGGTGGCAAAATTGTGGGGAGTAAATTGAACCTGTAACATTACAACCGATTGGAAACAATAATATCATCGTTAGTGGCTAGCTGTTGTTCTAGCTTGAAATGCGAGCGGTGTATAAAAAACCTTTTTGAAAAAAAAAAAAATATTTAAAAATTGTGCACACCTTAATAAACAAGAGGACTGAATCGTCGGTAGAAACCGACTGATAACGCAATTTTTTTTTTAATTCTGTTAAAAGCAGGTCACATATCAAAGAAAAAAAAGCTCGTCGGTGTTGTTAACAAGGGTCCTCAGAGGGGCAGCACAAAGTCCGTGAATGATTGGAAAGCGATGCGGCCACCTGAGTGCCTGGCGTTCACACAACTCAATGCTCAGTATTTCGGGGTTTAAACAAATATCGGTGATATTAACGTTTACTACAATTTCTCTGGCCCAAATATATATTAAAACCGACAAGTCTCGTCATAAAAATAGATTTATGAGTTTGAATTATCCGTCGACTTAAAATGCATGAAAAACATATGTGGGCAATAGAATAGCAATCGACCTAGCAAATATGACGTATCGTCTGCTCGAACAACAAATTGGTAAAAAAAAACGGGCAAAAATCATGGTTTTCCTGCCAAATTTTGATGTACATTTACACACTGGTGGCCAAGCAATCAAGCTAACTCCAAAAAACGGCATGCACTTTGGTAGAATATAGAGATCACGTCTAAAACACGTCAATATAAAGAAGAATTATGACGATGTTTGATCTATTGTAAATATAGCTATTTCACGCGCCGTCGTGCCAAGCCCCACTTTTGGAGGGGTCTCAACAGCTACGCAGATTAATCACAATAATTTGTGTAAATAAACAAAGCAACCTGTCTCCTCTGGAAGACTCGAAAATTGTGAAGCGATCTAAATAGCTTAGTAAAGTAAAACGTTAGTACCAGTTTTGGGTGGATTTCTCTTAATTTTCATCCAATTGTACATCGCCGGCGTTTCGCCGCCCGACTTTGGATCTGACGATTCCTTGTCACTGTTACCGTTATGTTGACTCGGTTCGGGACTGCCGTCTGCGACGCTGTGGTTTGGGCTGACTTCGAGGTGATGGTGAGATGGCTGGCTGTGCTGTTGTTGTGGGTGATGTTGGTGATGATGGTGGTCGTGATGAGACGTGTAGTGACCGTTATTGTTATACGGCGATATCGTGGTATTCCCACATTGCGGCTCTAGGTAGGTTCCCCGGGTCAGCGGCGACGTATTGTGGTAATGGTTTTGATTGTAGTACACAGAGTCCGGGTAGGAATACGCATTCGCGGCAGTGTTCATTTGTGGGGTCACAGGCGCGCTGCTGTACATAGAAGGGGGTCCGGCGATGCTCGGGTCATGGGAGTGCTGATAGGTGTTCAAAGAGGCACGTGAATTCACCCCTGACAGCATCCGTGCGTCAATCGCGTCGGTATTACCCACACCGTACGCTGTGTGTTGGTAGTGAGACGGGGCTGAGTTAACGGCAACTTCGGACCCGTAATTCAAATTTCGAACTGCCGGATACATGCCTGAGTCGCTACCGTAATCAACGTAGGCTGCCATTTTCGAAGTGTCCATTACGCAGCTGTCAGTTCAGGCTCGTAATTTTGAAATATGCCTCAATGCTGTCTTCTCTTTGATGATAAATAGCCAGCGTCCGAAGGTACACTTGCCTTCACACGCCGTCACACTTCTATGCTTATTTACTTGCTCACGTGACACATTCTAACCAATCAGCAACCATGGTTGTAATTTCTGCATTAGCACCGCGATCATCTATCACCCGTAATGACATATTTATTACTCATTTCATTTTTACTGATCAAGCAAGACTTTCCCCAGTTCTTAAAATGTATTTTATCGTGATATTGTGATTCTTGTGGCGGGTTCTTTTCTTAGAATTGGCGGAAACTAACCAGTGCCGTCGACTCGGAATACGGAAACAGCAGATATCTATCCCAGCGTTCAGCTGTGCTCTCGTTAAGAATTCAACTAAGCAGGTGACATTTTCGTGATATTTGTACTCGATTTTCGATCTATAACACAGCCGATTTCCGGTTATTTTCCAATGACGTCCAAGTTCTGAGTCGATCAATATCAACGTAATGGAACGACGGTTTACTTGGCAATCACTGGCAGGTGACGAGGTCATCCGACCTCGGTTACCACGGTAGTTATCCGCCAACCACGGAATGCAAGGGGACGCAAAACAAGTTGGACCTTTCACGTTTAATTAATTTTTCCTTTCGCTTAAACTTGAACACTTTCCAATGACTTAATTCGTTGTGAATGATGTGTGAATGTTTTGATTCATGTCGCCACACCGTTATTTACTGTCAAATCCACCCTTGGTCGGCTCCGGCTCGGTTCATCGCAGATATGACCCAATAAACTAAGGTCAAATATTACACAATCATTTTTTTTAATATCGTTTATTTATCAGCCATTTTCACTAACAGTTAAAACGTAAACAACAAAACTCGCGCTACATATAAATGCATGCATGTGACCAATAAAAAATAGCAAATTGTAATTGTTTCGTGGTGAGTCTGTGCAGATGTGTCGATTTATGTTTTGGGCGTATTACAGACCAACTCGAGGGCTAAGTGTGCGTGAATCGGCGGTAATTTCAGATTGTGCTCGAATTAGAATAAAAGGCGACAGATATAAGCTAGCAAAAACGGTAAATCAGTTTATTGTGTGATATGATCTGTAAAACCATCGTAATCATTGTCGTCCGATATGAAATATTAATGCCCTATCACATGGTGCGCACACAAATAGTCAGAAATTCGATACTGTGCAGTTTATATTCGCTCAATTGTTTCTGGTAAAGCGACTGGATTAGCTATTATATTTCGCCAATAAACGATGTTACAATATGCCAAAAATATGGCAGCAAAAGCCCAGCGTGACCGAGACAGACCTAATCGAAAATGGGCGCCTGGCGTGTCTTCTGTCGGTGAGACAGGAAGGACGCACTCACACACACTTTGTTAGTGTGCGTAATAATTCAGTTGGAAATTTATTTGCATTTTTATAATGCATTAGTACATTGTTTCCCGGACGCGCCTCATAGTGATTCGTTCCCTGTTCGGAGGTGGCAGACAAACATGGCGCTGAGAATTGGGTAAAAAAATTACGCGCGGCAACAATTTTCGGCAAAATTTCTATAAATTTTGCCACAAAATGTCTTTTGCGTATCTTGGCAACAACTGTGATCGGAATTTAGGTGAAATTTCCAAAACGATAGAAATGTTTCATTGATGGCAAACTACCGTCCACTGTGTTGACAAACCGCTGGGAGATTGCTATTGATCCTGTACATAACAAGCAAAGTGCGGTGCGCATGTTTACCAAAATTCAATGTCAATGTCAGAATGTATTGACTCGTGCAGGGACGAGACTAGCACCAAATCAGCCCCAGTTTTGCATAAATTTGCATAGCACGATGACAATACACAGAGATTGTTTAACTTATCAATGAACGCTTGCGTAGAACTCTCGGGCCATATTTGTTGAAACAAGCCGCTCTTGGGCGTGTACAAGATCGATTTGTATGCGAGAACTAGCCGAGGCTGATGTCGACGATGACCCACGGTACTTTCAACACTGTACAGACCCTAGTGAGTGAAAACGTGTATATAGTAGTTAGGAAATTTACAAGAGCACACTCTTTGTGGCCTTGCTTACCTCGCTGTCACAGTTCAAATACAAAATAGCCTCTGTGCCGCGTCTTGGCCGGCGATCGCCGAACTCAGCGAAGTAGCCATTAAAAAAACAATGCAACACGTCACCACGATTCTGAAACAAGTAATTATTTGTTTGAGCATGACGATTAAAGTATGAATCAAACAGAAATTTGATGTTTAGAAGTTTAAATACTATTGACGAATATCACCTTTACAAACACATACATTACATTTGACCAAAAAGTACGGTTCTTAGAATATTTATTCAGGGTTACACACGTTACTATTATACCTTTTTGCCTTTTGTGGGTTTTTTTTTTTAGATAAACATTTTTTTTCTCATTTTCCATTCTTCTCGTTCTACTTGTGTACCAGCTGACTCTCCTCAAACAACTGCTACGCGCTGATACACTGACCTACATACACTATGATTATATTTTGCTTGTTTGTATTAAAGTGTATGTCTGTTTTACTGTAAAATACTTTATTTTAGCTGGAATTAATTTTCGCTGAAAAGAATTTTTGTATGGAAACTATTTTCAATGATTTCGAATGTAAAATAAGGGAAAGAGGATATATTTATTGGATTTTATTTTTACTGAATCGTTCCTTCAGCGAAAATAGCGAAAATTAATTCAAAGCAAACATTTTACAGCGTATAGGGGTTCACAAATCTCTCTTCATAATTCCATATATCTATGGAAACTCCAAGCTTGATTTTCCAGCGGATATCAACTTGAAAAAATAGTTTTGTTGTTGTTTTTTAATTGATAAACTGGCCTAAATGTCCAGGCTGAAGTTACAAATTTAAGCCAATTTCATGCGATAGAGATTAATTCAATTTTGAAAATAACGCACAATTCGTGTACGTTTTGTGTAAAAAAATCACGTATTCGCGATTTTCGGCACCAAAGTACCAAATGTAAGTTAAAGACGCAATATAAACAAGAACGTGTAATTTAATATTGTTCTTTGATACTGTATGTTGATTACAATTATTTGGATTATGATTTTATCATCAAGTGAACACGGTGTTTCATGGTACAGAGTTAAGTGTTTATACAATGATACACTGACACCTAGTGTTTTTGGTACGTACAGTAAAAAGTCACTGCACATGGTTGTAATTTGCCATAGAACGAATACTAGACCTGTTGTGCACCCTGCAAACAAAATCAATACATTCAGTATGTGATAACTATAAGCCAATTTTATCATCATCATCAGCATGCAATATCAACACTGCAAACTTCATCTTCAACATATATCGTTACCCCCCCCCCTCACACTCATCGTTTATTTTTAACTTCTGTGGATAAAACATTGTGATTACTTGAGATTGGTAATTTCGGAGACTTAGTTTTTTGCCTAGATTACATTAGTGTATAGCACGAACGTCTGACAAAACAATATTAATATAGTTCATGTCAATAAAAATATTATTAGGCTACGTGTAAATAACAATATTTATCGGGAATATGTCAATAGCGATAATTCTAATTATAAAATAAATAAGAATTGAAATACATTTCTGTTATATTTATTATTTGTTTTCTAAAATTAAATTCAAAACGGAAACAGTCGTTCTCGATGTTGCATAATGTTGTCATACAAGAAAACAAAATAGGTATGGTCGAATGGTATTATCGGTAAAGAGAGTAGTCAGATGCGGTCGCAATGTGTTGTGGGTAAACGGAGGAACCCTACATGCGTTCTGCATTGAACGACACAATAGCAATTACGGTGGTTTGGTATCATGTCAAATCCTACAACAGGCTACTGTAAAATACTTTATTTACACTTGGAATTAATCTTTTTTTCCTATAGTTTACATTCAACTTGTCAAAAATCAGTGAAAATAAATTCCATACAAAACACCCAAAATAAAGTATTTTACAGTATTAGCAGGTTTTAATGTCGCGTGGTATTTTTGTTCAAGTACGTCATCAAATACTGCGTACTATCAAGTCTAGTTTGAAGATAGCCCTGAAATCATAATCACCAAGTAGATCTTCCAAATATCCGTGAATCGCACCACTACCTGGCAGGTTTGATTGAAGTACAGTCGCGAAATCAGGGAAAAGTTGTAATGGTTAGGTATTTTGAGTTTTGATGAGACTGTGTATGAGACCGCGTCACGTAATACCCAGCTAGGAACGAGCCTACGTAATCAGACGGAATATCACGCGCAGCGAAAACACGTGACTAATATATTTCAGCATTGTTTACCGCGAGTAAAGTCACGTATACTATAAAATTACTGATATATTCTTACGACAATTCAAATGTAGTGCGACAAACATCGATCTTGCAGTGTAATACGCGAATTTGTTACCCTTCAACTTCACGAAGGTCACGGTCAACCACAATTAAAGCGCGGTGGTCGTCGCACAGCGCGTGTTCGAATTTCATGTAAATAAACAATGTATTTTACACGCGTTGTATAC